TTTTTAGCTAAAATTTAGCCTAAAAGCATGACAGATCAACGACCAGCATCCATAAATCCTACTGGTCATCAACCAATGGGCATACTCACTAGCATGAATATTGGTCATCAATAGTGTACAACCATCAATCATCACCATCCCATTGATGACCGACTGGTCATCACCATCAATGACCGACTTGTCATCTTCATCCGGACCGGTTGACTCCATCAATCACCAACTGGTCATCCCATTGAGGACCGGTTCTGACCAGTCAACACCATCAATGGCCGACCCAAAATGGTGATGACCGGTCAGAACGGACAGGTCAACTCCATCGATGAGTGACCGGTCATCACCATTGATGAGTGACCGGTCATCACCATCGATGAGTGACCGGTCATCACCATCGATGAGTGACCGGTCATCACCATCGATGAGTGACTGGTCATCACCATCGATGAGTGACTGGTCATCACCATCAATGAGTGACCAGTCATCACCATTGATGAGTGACCTATCATCACCATTGAAGACCGATTCAATGGCTGACCCAAAATGGTGATGACCTCACCATTGATGATAGACCGGTCAACTCTATCAATGACCAACCGGTCATCACCATTGATGAGTGATGACCGGTTCTGATCGGTCAACACCATTGATGGCCGACCCCAAATGGTGATGACTGGTGGGTCATCACCATCTCCAGTGTTCTGTTGCAGCTGATTGGGGGTGATCTGCAAAGTGCTGGAGTGGTGATGTGGAACTTAGTGATTGCCAACACGTTCACGATGGCAGCAATTCTGGTGAGACTTTTCTGGTGTGTTAAAAATTGACTAAAATTTTAACCTGCGCAGCATTGGAAACCTTTCTGGCGGGACAATAAAAAATTTCTGGTGAAAAGCTATCGTGAACCCCCCTAATGAACGCTTGTGCTTTCGCAACGGGCAAGCATACCAAGCACTATTTATATGATTCGTATTTATATTTCTTGTCTCCTCAGAAAGACAAGGCCCAAGACAAACAAGTAGGCGTACCTAAGTGTATATACATGAGCAAAACTTACTCTTGCATATAATGAACTAGTTGGCCAATTCAGTCAAGGTATTCCTTGGAGAGATCTCACTGTCCGAACCAGTTTCAGCAGGGGGCAGAGCTAGCTGCTACATGCATGGTACTACCAGCAATATTCCCGTCCACTCACATACAGCTCGTTGTAAATTGACTGGCTTGTCTGGCAAGCCTGTGGGGGTCCTTGTTATTGTCACGAGGCCTTTCCACCCAAACATTAAATGCAAAATGAGTTCAATGACTCAAAAACCTCAACACAAGATAAAAAAAAACTTGCTCAAACTAGGACTGTGACAATTCAAACAAAAACAATACTGGCTCGTGAGTAGGCTTAAGGCAAGGCATCGGCTGAGGGTGTGGCTCAGGATAGGCCTTATAGTATTTTTGAAACCCCGTTACCTTCATTTATGTACATGCACTCACTCATGGGTGTTACATGTAACGCTCACAGGAGGCAGCTGGATAACAGCATCAGAGAGACACCAAGCTACACCATGACATTGAATAAGTATTAAGCAGATCTCAGTCGTCAAGGGTGAGCAAGTTTCGGATCTAATTTGAGACAAGCCTCAAGATTCCGATATGATGGTTCACTGGAGCTTTCTTCCTGGCATGTCAAGGGGCCGATGGATAATTTCAGTGCAATTCAAAAAGCAGAGAGTTGGTTACAGCCATATGTCCCGGGCAGTCGACGCCAAAATTGAAGCAGCCGCCCCTTTAAATCTTACTCTAATTATGATTCTTATCACTACCCTTACTAGGCGTCTTTCCTACCAATTGTACATTGCCGCATGGCTTTTCACATTAGCTTTAAAATCATGCGAGTTGTTCGACTTGAACAAGCTTCCGACAGAGTATTTCGACGAAGCCTTTCCAAGCGTGTCAGCCGAAATATCTCGAGGCAAGTTCAAAGAGCATCTAGTGCAACATTCGATCCTCAGCCCGCGACAGACGTGCACGTCTATCCCCATGATCAGGTCGGCTCCTCTGACTCAGGTAAGGTGCCACTGGGCTGTGACCTTCCCTCCAAACCGATAAAAAAACGAATCCTGAGACCCTTCTGGGTAGGTTCCATCCACGAATTCGACTGGGAAAGTAACCCCCAGTCTGCAAGGTTGGCACGGCTAACAGTTGAGTTTAAGTAAGAGTCGATTCGATTGGCTGAATCAATCCTCACTCCCTCTCTAAACAGTCGGTCAGTCTTCCGGCGGTGGCTCAAAGTCAGTACCCCCACCTCGATAACGATTTGTCGGATACCGACTTACCAGGTATACCAGCCGTCGAGGAGAAGGATTGGGACGAACTGGATTTTTCCCATTTTATCACACGTGGGATCGTTATCGAGGAACTTCTCCATACCTTCAGCGAACGTTTTAAATCTCAAGTCATGTCACAAGACTGTCGGTCCCGCCATTGGGGTTTAGTCGACCCACACCCGACCGTGTCTACCGCGCGGATCGATGTTGCGGTCGAAGACCCTTATAAGCTAGCAAAAGTCCTGCATTACGATTTGGCGTCTACACAGACTGCTAAACACCTGTACATGCTCTACAAGTTCTTGGTGGTATCGCTTTTCAAGCTTCATGGCGAATTTTTGACACAAATCAACATACCAGTATTACATCACAGAAACCAACAAGAAAAACTACTTGAATGGCTAGATAAACAAATCTTTAGCCCCGGTGACAGTCATCCTGTACTTGGAATTGCCCCTGAATCTGACTTAACTTGGGAGTCAGGGGGTCCCAGTCTGCAATATTATGGGGACATTCAAAAAGAATTGATCCTGTACTTTTCTGATGATAAGCGCAGTGATCCTAACATCTGCGCTTCAGCTATCCTAAAACCGTACCGAACCGAACACGCTAGTAAGTAACTCTACTGGTAACCAATAACTTGAATGCGAGGCAAATTACTCAAAAGATGCTGAGATGCTGACCGTATTTTGCTTCGATCCATTGCTGATTACCAGAAGAGTATCTGGCATTACGGCAACCCTCAGGATCCTTTCTTGAAGACCCAAATAGACTTTCGATTAAACCACACTTTCTATTAATACTAGAGTACCTTTCAAATATGGCTAAGAAACTGGAAATAAATCTCCTGAATAGCGACGATAGACATTCAAAACAGGCACTAGAACACTCGGCGTTGGTTACACCTTACGTTTCAACCTTTGAAAAAAGATTCCGGACTTCAGAAATCGAAAAAGGAGATGTTCGGAGTTATTATCCGACCTTGCAGATAACGATGTGCTTCCATGATCATAAGCCTGGTCCGAAGCCTCTGCGAATGATAGACCCGGCTGGAAAGATATACAAGTTTAATGATTTACGCTCTCGACTGAGAAAACTGATGAAAGCATTGGACTGTCTAACCATTGGAGCCATGTCGGAACTGAAAATAAGACTGTCTGATAAAGACATTAAGATCAGGAGAAAATCGGTACTTAAATTCCTGGTCGATTCAATGATTCAACCAAAAGGAAGCCTGCCACTCATAGGAAGCGTCGAATCTCCGGAGGGCATTGCCCCTTGGTTCAGCAACTCTCATGGAAACCCAGTTTTGTTTGGAGAGATTCAATTGAAAATTATGAAATATTTGACTGACTATTTGGAAGAGGAAGATCTGATACAAATTCCAGCATTTGTTTTGAGTGCTTGGCATTATGCTAATCCTAAGTATGAGTTGAAGCTTCATTGAGCTCTTTCCAAACATCCTAATCAAAAAACAATAATACTGCCAGAGATAATATGCACCGTTTGTAGAGGAAACATTTTCATAACATGAATAATTTGAATCTCTTCTAGCAACGATGAAACGATGCGATACGATGCGATAAATCGCCCTGTATCGGTATCGCATCGTTTTAGCGATACACGCTTAAGCGATACCGATGCGATGCATCGCTTAAGCGTGTATCGCTAACACGATGCGTCACAGATGCAGGGCGTTTTATCGCATCGTCGAGCGTCGTAATATCGATGAGAGTACTAATGGAATTTTACAAGATATATGACCGTTTCATCTAAAAAAGTGGAAACTATCAATGACAAAATCGTACCAGTAGATTGAAAATGTTGGAAAAGAGCTGAGCCTCACATAAACATAATAGGAAACAAGTACATAAAAAAAAGGGCACAAAGAAAATGCAGATTATGGAAACAGTGCTGCTTCTATCAAATAAATAGTCAATATTTAATAATAAAAAGGGGAACAAGTAAATGGAAAATTAAGAAAAAAATTGAGCATCAAAATAAAAAAAATAGGAAACAAGTAAATAAAAAAAAGGGGAACAAGTAAATGGAAAATTGGAAACTCAATGAAAAATGGCCATCTTAATTAAAAAAGCAAATGGAATGGAAATAAGTAAAAAAAAATAGACTGGAAAATTAAGAGAAATTGAGCATCTTAATTAAAAAAAAATTGGAAACATATAAAAAATAAAGGAAAATGAAGAAAAATTAAGCATATTAATTAGAAAAAATAGGGAAAATGTTAACAAAAAAATAATGGGAAATTAAGAAAAAATTGGCACATACTATGAGCCAATAGGAAAAGAGGAAGGAAAAGAGGCCAACATAATATAATCATAGTATAATGGAGCTATGACTGGCAAAAAAATTAATATAAGGATAAGCAGAAATAATTAAGATTTGGCATCTTATTAAACTTTTCATATGAATAGAAGTCTTATAGTAGTAAAAACTGGGAACAAAAGTTTTTTTTAGAAATAATTAAGAAAATTCACACATAGAGGAAACAAGTGATGAATACCTAAAACATTTCCCAAAGACATAATCATCTGGGTGTTTGGTCCTTGTTTCGCCTTGCTTTCTCAGCCATTGCCTGGGATACTACCTTTTGCACAAGTTCAAACTCGCCATCGGGTTTAATTCCTTGGACAAGCCATTGATGAGAGCTGACACTCCGCTCAATGGTTCGAACGCCCAAGCGGCCTCGGTCCGGTCCACATATGTCCGCAGCTGCCGAAAAACATCGCTCCACCGATGCTGAGGTGGAGCAGCAAGCCAGATAGTCCCTTGCCAGAAGGGACAAGATGGGGAACTCTTGAGAATGTTCCTAAGATAAGATATAATATCAATGTCAGTTAGGACCAACCATTGGGCTAAGATAAATACATTACAGAAGATCTTACCTTCCACCAGAGTAAGCACTTGGATGCCTGAGGGTGGGGCCACTTATATTTGCCCCCAAGGTAAACCGTCAACTCATCCTCTGGGGACGTTTCAACAGTATCTGGGAAGAATTCAATGTTGTCAAATTCGCAAACTGGGTTGTGGGTTGATTGCTTGCCAGCTTGTGTGTTGACCTGTGGCGGGGTGCTGGCTTCGTACTCAATCTTTTGAATGATGAACTTTTCTTGAACCAAGTTCCGAGCGCGAGTCAAGTGTGAGGGAAAGAACAAGTTGAATATCGAGAGGCGGTAACTGGGATTGAGAATTGTGGCAAGCAAAATGGCATCACATTTCAAGGCTTCTGAGAGATATTTGTCGGTTCGGTCAAGCATCTTCGTGTACATCGGGTGAAAGTCGGCTTCGGTTGTCAATGTCATCTTCTTGTTGAGCAGAGCTTTGATGTATCTGTATTCCGCAAGTATCATCCCAGCCGAGGGGATATCACCTTCCATCTTCTTAGTTATGAAGTAAAACTCGCTGAGAACATTGTTGAGCCATTTGACATTGTCCCAGTCCGCTCGAGTAATCTCGGTATCATCGTAACAATTGTTGCCCCCTTCCTTTTCATGTCGATCTCGTTCATTATCAATCAGCTTGTTGATGACTTGTTGCGCCTGGTAAGCTCGGTCTCGGCTGATGAATTTGATATTCCATCTGATGCCTTACCCTGAAATCAACGATGGTCCATTGTAATCCAACTTCTTTGCCCAAGTGTTAAACTCCAACCGTCGGGCTGCTGAGGAGGTGATCTTCTGAATGACAAAGTCGACTTTATTGAAGCTCAGTTGGGCCGATGGCGTTTGGCTGTTTTCGCTGTCATGGGATACTTCATTGTCCTCATCATCGACGTCGTTATCCTTGGGGTTGGGTCCAAAAACCACATGCTCCTCGAAGGTATTGGGATGGACTGGATCTTTGGGTTCTTCAAGGACAGGCTCCAATCCCGGGACAAAGCCAAGGGTAGATGCTTTAGTCTTTGTGAGGCCATCCGTATCGATCGATATTGCCTTGAGTCCAGCGGTGAGGATCAGACCAATCTTATGGCAGAAGCATCGGATGTGGTTCTCGGATAGCTTGAGCTTGACTCCTGTTTTGATTTCAATCATACGGTCGACCTCTGTTACCATGGTGCCATTGTTTGAGCCGGAGTCGGTAGTCTGGGCTAAGATGTGAATGAAAAAATAAAAGAGCCAAGTTAAATCACTGGCTGAGAGACAAGGGGTCACAGAAGAAAAAAAAATGGAGGAAAGACTTATCTTTTCTTGAAGATCCGACTTGATGATGACATTACAAAAGGGGATTGCTAAGTTCTTACCCTTGTGAGTCCAAGCAATGAACTTCAATCCAAGATGGGTGATGACAAACTCCCAATCGTCCGTCACGTAAGCCGCGGCCATTCCCATGAATGCATGTCGGTTGCCTTTAGTAGTCCAAACGTCGTGTATGAGGGTTATTTTTGATTTAATATTCTTGAACAAAAGTAGAAGAATAGTCAGCCATAGGGGAAAAATGGAGGTTCAGAGGAGGAAAGAGAATGATACAGATAATCATACGGGAGATTGAGATATCATACCTGGAGCCTTGATATCACAGTAGCCTGTAAGTTCAGATAAATCTTGTGCGCCTCAATTGCTGCCCACACACGGCTGAACAGTTTAATACCTTGCTTGACGTAATTGAATGCGATCTCGAGTAGTTCATCCTCCATTCGGCACCACGGCAAAGAGTGCCGGATGAGCCATAGCACAAGGATCTGATTGAGAGTTTTTTGGTCGAACTTCTGAGTCATCATTACCTTTGGGCTACTTCCTTGGTGGCATTCGCCTTGATTCTTCTCCATCTGAGTCGTGGGTAGCTTGGCGCCGGCGAGTATTGCTTCACCTCTTTTTGGACACGGATTTCGAGTCTTGTTTCCATCGCGGTGTAAGACTAGATTACCTCGTGATCCTTCAGCTTTCTTGTAGCTACCTCCACACCAACGACACTCGTAATGCAATGGGGTGCCAGAGGAATCCTGAACATCCAAGAGTTGCAATCAGTTGTGGCCCCTTGGTTGCAAGAGAAAAAAACACGACATTCAAAAATCACTTACTTCACCATCTGCAAAGACCGGGGGATGAAAGTAGTCCTCCACAGCGTTGACATCGGCATCCACGTCTTTGCGACCCCGAGCCTTGCGTCTTTTCACAACCCTTGAGTTTTCCTCGTCTGAGTCTTGGGTCATGTCCATTATAGTCTGAGGCTGGTCAGAGTCGGCTTGCGAGTCGTCCACCTCCGGACGACGTTTTCTCTTCTGAGGCTGGGATCCAGCTGAAGGCTGAGACTTCCTACGTGGTCTTGATGATCTCGTCCCTTGAGATTCAGACACCCCTTGGCGATGGGCTGAAGTTGGAGCCTGAGGAACAGATTTTCGCAAGTCACCGCTAGTTTGAACAAAGTTGGGATTCCGGACAGGGGTGGTTATGCGGGTAGAATGTCGGGCTGGAGTGTTGAGGCGGGTAGAATGTCGGGCTGGAGTGTTGAGGTTAGTTGACTTGCGAGAATGTCCTCTGGAGGGGGTCTGGGGAACGGAAGAAGTGGACATGATCGATCGAAAGATAAGAGAAAGAGGCGAAATTCAGATGGACGGGATGGCTTTGGGGGGTAATTATTCGTCTGAGAGGTGACCCAAGTGGCAAAGCAAGCGTTACGAGCCGTCCAATTAGATCACGAGCGAGTGTTTCCACAAAATCACGAGCCGCCCAAGAAAATCACGAGCCGTCCAATTAGATCACCAGTGGTGACAGCACGCCAATGTCCTGTCTATGCACACAGAATTGGAAAGAAAAAAAATTATAATAAAGCAAACAAGCAAAGAATAGAATATAAATGCCTTGGGGCCTTTGAGAGTATAAAAGAGAAGACTCACATTCACAAATGGACTGTGTAGCAAATTGACCCAAAAACACACACACATTAGCTCACTGTTAACTCACATATTGAGAGTAGAAGACCGAAAAAGAGAATACTCACAAAATA